ACACGCGACGCCGAAGATGGCGTGAACGACGTACGCGCCCGCGGCCCGCGACAGGCCCTTCTGGCCCCGGAGATCCTCGATGAGGTCGTTGATCTCCTGCGTGAACTCCTTGGAAATGTCGCTCTCCTCGCGCCCGAGGCGCGCCAACGCGTCGTTGACGCGCATGTTCACTTGCATCTCCGCGGCCTTCTCGCGCGCCATCACTTCAAGAGCTTGCTCTCCGTGATCAGTGTGGGATGGTTCTCTCTCCGAGCTCCTGAAAGGTGCGAACTTCCAGGCGACCCGACCCGGTCGAGACCCAGCCTCGGCCCACGCGACCTTTCAGGTCACCTGTCAGGTGCCTACTTAGACGTCGGCGGCGTCCAGCTAGAGGCTCTCGGGACCTTTCAGGTAACTTTCAGGTCCTGTCTGGTGTCGGGCGAGACGCCCCCTCGGACCTACCAGGTCGCGCCGCGTCTCCTGAAAGGTCGCGTCGCGACCTAAAAGAACGGCGACTCGAAAGGTCGGTTTCGTCAGATCGGCAGCGACCTGAAAGGTCGGCGACTAAAAAGGTTTCGCCAGGCAGGCCCGGGGACGGCTCCTTGAGGGCACGTTGCCCCGCTGCAAGAAGCCCGTGCGGCCTTCAAGATGCCGCATTACGACCGGCCCCACCTACCAGAACAAACGCGTCTCACTAGCTAGACCCGGCGAGTCAGATTCCTAAATGAGCGACGACGCGGAGGCCTACGTGGAAGGCCAGTGGTCGTGATCTTAATACTTCTTCGTGACTACCTAGGCGACGGTGAGCTCGATGATCTGGCGGTAGCCGAAGAGCTGGTGGCGGTAGTTCGTGGGCTGGCTCGTGGTGAAGCCCGCGCCTCGCGAGAGAAGACCTAACGACACTAGGCCGTTGGTCTTCTCCCGCGTGTCGACGTCGATGTAGTGGGGCGCCCCGGAGCCCGACGAGCCGAGGCCCTCCTTGGCGATGCCGACGATCGCGAAGACGTTGTTGGCCGCCGCCGGCGTGATGACGCGGCCGACGACGATGGCGGAGTTGTCGCGGCAGCCCGCGAAGTGGCCGCCGCCGCAGCAGGCGCGCAGCGTGGCCATGGAGAAGCGGTGCGCGCTGACGAAGAAGACCTCGTTGAAGACGATGGGGACCCAGGCGCTCGGGTTGCGCAGGGCGTAGTCCGTGAGGACGAAGCCCGTGCCCTGGTCGTAGACGGCGCCGGGCCGCATCTGGCTGGAGAGGACGAGGATCTTGGAGCCGCCGAAGTCGAAGTCGGCGCCCGCGGCGCCCGGGGAGCGGCGCAGGGCCATGTCGATGTCGGTCTCGAGGCCGATGACGGGCGACCCGCCGGGGCCCAGGACGTGGACGACGACGGTCCCCGACACGGGCGCGCTGGGCAGCGACAGCGAGGGCACCTCGGACGACGGCGCCGCCGCCTCCTCCTCGTCGGACGACGGCGACGCGAGGTCGACGACCTGCGGCGTCGCGACGACGACGGGCGGCGGCGGCGTCGCGACGACGACGGGCGCGCCGGCCGCGGCGTTGAGCTCCGGCGCGACGACGCGCGCGACCTTGGCCGGCCGCTCGCCCGAGCCGGGCGACGATGGCGCGCTCGGCGCCGGCGACGACGACAGGGCGGCGACTTGCGGCGGCGGCAGGGCCGGCGCGGCGGCGACTTGCGGCGGCGGCAGGGCCGACGTGGCAGCAGCTGGCGGCGAGGGGAGGGCCGGCGTGGCAGTGTTGCTCGAGTCCTTTGGTGTATCGCAGATGGCACACGCGAGAAAGAATGCCTCGTGGGGCAGGTGCTTGTACGTGCACGTACCGCAGACCCACATTGGCTGGTATGGTCGTCGTCGCTGGCGGATCGATCCCGCTCCTGTCTCGAGCTCCTCCGTGGCCTCCAGGGCAAAGCTGAACCTACGCTGGCTTTCGATTGCCGGGGGCATGGCCGCGTGACGGTCGCCGCGACGCTGGCGATCTACCCAGCCTTTAGTTTGGTGCCTCGCGCGGCCCATCCGTCCGAGGGCGCCGTGAATCGACGCGTTTCGTGCCGCAGCAGACGTCGTCACCTCATGCAGTCGGGTGAAAGCTCCGGCGGGACGAGCCACCGCGCCGGCGGCCGGACGGGCCGCCGCTGATAGCGGCGCGAAGACCGCCTGCGCCCGAGCCGCGCTCGGAAGCATGGTCCAGCGGAGCGCATCGCGCCGGTGCGCTCCAGATTTACCCCCCGCTGAGGCCGCCGTCGAGCCGCATCGGCTCGCCCTTTTCATCCTGTCGATCGCCGCAATGGTGCGCACTCCCTCCTTCGACGACCTCCCGCCGGAGGTGCGCGAGTACCTCAGCGATGACGAAGGTGCGTCCAGCACTGGCGCCCGCGCGCGCGCGAAAAAAGGAAGGCCGACGACGACCGCGCCCGCTCCGCAGGCGACGAGTTCAGCTACCCCGACTACAAGGACGACTGGGGGAACGTCATCGTCGTGGACAACCTGCCCAAGATCCCCATGGCCAAGTACGCGAAGCTCGAGGGCGTGCTGAAGCGCATCTTCGCGCAGACGGGCACCATCGCGCGCCTCGTCATGCCGTCGGAGAACGAGAAGACGCTCGGCGTCGCGCTCGTCGAGTTCGCGTCGGCGGAGGAGGCCGTCAAGGCCATCCGGCTCACGGACGGCTACGCGCTGGACAAGAGCCACGTCTTCAAGGTCAACGCCTACGCGGACCTGGCGACGCTCGACGGCCTCGCGGCGGCGTACGCGCCGGAGCCGAAGGCGCCGTTCGTCGAGCGGCTCAACCCGAACTCGTGGCTCGGCGACCAGCTCCACCGGGACCAGTTCGCCATCCGCTACAACAACGAGACGGAGATCAAGTGGTGCGAGCGCAACGCGCCCCCCACGCTCGACTACGGCGGCGAGCGCGAGAAGGAGGGCGGCCTCTACTGGTGCGAGATGTACGTCAAGTGGTCGCCCCAGGGCAGCGTGCTCGCAACGTTCCACAACAAGGGCATCGCGCTCTGGGGCGACGCGGCCTTCTCGAAGCAGGGCCGCTTCGCCCACGACGGCGTGAAGAAGCTCGAGTTCAGTCCGCGCGAGGCGTACATGGTCACGTCGAACGAGATCCCCGGCGACAAGCGGGGCTGCATCTTCTGGGACCTGCGGACGCGCACGGAGCTGCGGAGCTTCGAGGTGTCCATGCTCCCGGCGCCGCCGCCGGCGCTCCTCCGGCCCGACGAGGACCCGGGGCCGCCGCGCTTCGAACCCTCCCACTTCCAGTGGAGCCACGACGACGGCTACGCCGCGCGCCGCGGCAAGGACAAGGCCGGCGGCGACGTCATCACGGTCTACGAGCTCCCGGCCATGACGCTCCTGGGCAAGAAGTCGCTGCGGGCCGACGGCGTCCGCGACTTCCAGTGGAGCCCGACGGCGTCCTGCCTCGCGTACTGGGCGCCCGAGCAGGGCAACGCGCCCGCGCGCGTGACGCTCGTGGAGCTGCCGTCGCGCAAGGAGCTCCGCCAGAAGAATTTGGTGAACGTGTCGGACTGCAAGCTCTACTGGCACCCCGAGGGCCGCTACCTCTGCGTCAAGGTCGTCCGCCACACGAAGAGCAAAAAGACGCTCTTCCACAGTTTCGAGCTCTTCCGCGCGGACAAGGAGCTCGTGCCCGTGGAGATGCTCGAGATGAAGGACACGGTCCACGCCTTCGCCTGGGAGCCGTCGGGCCACCGCTTCGCGGTCATCCACGGCGACGGCGCGAAGCCGTCCGTGTCGTTCCACTCCATGCTCGGCAAGGACGGCCGGCCCGAGCTCACGCACCTCGTCACGCTCGAGAACCGGTCCTGCAACTCCATCCACTGGAGCCCCATGGGCACGCAGGTCGTCCTCGCGGGCACGGGCGACGCCTTCAACGGCGCGCTCGAGTTCTACGACTGCGACGCCAAGTGGTCGAAGCACGTCGAGCACTACCGCGCGAACGCGGTCGAGTGGGACCCGTCCGGGCGCATCGTCGCCACGGGCGTGCTCCAGCCCCTCGAGGGCGCCTTCTTCAAGTTCCAGATGGACAACGGCTACAAGCTCTGGACCTTCCAGGGCAGCGTCTACCACGAGGTCGCCTACGAGAACTTCTACCAGTTCGCGTGGCGCCCGCGGCCCCGGTCCCTCCTCACGCCGGACCAGAAGAAGGCCATCGTCAAGAACCTGCGCAAGTACGAGCGCCGCTTCGCCCACGAGGACAAGCTCAAGGACCTCGCGCGCCAGCGCGAGGCGACGACGGAGAAGCGCGCGATGCGCCGCGCGATCCGCGACCTCATCAAGCTCCGCGCCAAGCAGTACGACGCCACGGCCGCCGAGCGGACGAAGATGCGCAACGGCGTCGACGCCGACGCGGCGGACCTCTACCACGTCACGACGCGCACCATGGAGAGCGTCGTCGCGTCCAAGGAGGAGGTCATGGGCTAGGCCGGGCGTCGCGCGCCCCGTGCCTAACGTCCCTGAGACCTCGGAGTAGAGGTCGCCGCGGGCCACCGGACACCTACGCGTTACGCGACCGCCGCGACCGCGTCGCCTCCCCCTAGTCCTGGAAGTGGTGCGGGAAGAAGACGGGGCTCATGAGCATGCGGCACTGGTCGAAGAGGAAGACCTCGATGATCATGCGGCCCGTGCGCCAGGACCAGCCGCTGAAGAAGCGCCTGACGCCCTGCTCCTTGAGGAGCTTCGCCGCGGTGTCGAGGACGCCGCGGTACTTGGCGCCGGCCACGTCGCCCTGCTGGTTCGTCTTGATCGTGTCCATGGGGTGGGTCGAGGTCGCGACGACGACGCCGCAGCCGACGGCGGCGATGACGTTCGCCGACGCCTCGTCCTGGCCCCGCGCGAGGAGGCCGCGCTTGATCACGGGGCCCATGCCCAGCATGCCCGCGGTGAAGATGCCCTCCCGGCCGCACGACATGGCGAGGCCCCGGCCGAAGAGGCCGGCGACGCCGGCCTCGGCGACGACCTTGGCGGGCGTCGCGAGGAGCGACGTGCCGAAGCGCTGCTGCTGGATGAGCACGAGCTCCATCGGCGCGCACGCGAAGCCGCTCAGCGCGCCGCCGATGAGGCCCGCGCCGACGAGCTCGCCGTCGCTGAGCTTGCGGGGCACGCCGCCCGTGAAGAGGCCCTGGCACGTCGCCGTGAGGGGCAGCTGCAGCCCGGAGAGCACCGACATGTTCACCATCGACATGCCCGTGCCGCGGTAGAGCACCTTCGGGTTCAGCGTCAGCGGCATGCCCTGCTGCGACGCGTTCTTGCAGTAGAGCATCCACTGCGTCAGCGACACGTCGACGACGCCCGTCGCGAGGCCCACGGCGAGGTTCTCCGTCTCGTTGAGGCGCTGCAGCCGCGGGTCGGACATGGTCGCCGGGTGCCGCCGCGGTCGCGGTGTCTCGGGCGTCGAGGTCGCGCGGCGACGTCGAGGCCTGCGATTGCACGGGTCGGCGCGGCGCTGCAGGTGCTGTGTGCGAGGATCGGGGGGCGGCGCGCACGGCCACAGTAAGTTCAGTATGAGCGTCGGCGTCGGCCTCGAGTTTCTCCAAGCGTGTGCAACTTGCGTAGTTGATCTTTATTAATCGAGCGGCACTCGGCAGCCCGTCGTCCATCCAGTCCACTTTCGCGCGGCGACGATGGTCAGCGGCCGCGAGGCCCTCTCTCTCTAGCGCATTAGGCGACACACCCCGCCTACGCGCCTACCTTGGGCGGGCGCGGCACTGGGGCCCTCTAGCTGTTCATCTCTCCTAGCCTCGGGGCCGCCCCCGTCGCCGCTTCGCTTCGAACCATGGTCAGCGGCCGCTGCTGCTACGACCGCTGCGCCTGCGCGGGCTTCAAGGCCGGCGGCGCGGACCCCTACGTCTGCGCGGCCTGCGGCCACCACGAGATGCTCCACGCGCCGCCGCCGCGGGCGGCCCCGCCGGCGACGACCTGGTTCTACGTGCGCCCGAAGCAGGGCCTCTGCAACCGCATCCGCGTGCTCTCGTCGTCGCTCCTCGTCGTCGACGACCTCGGCAAGCCCGCGGGGCGGCGGCGCGGCGCGCTGGCGCGCGCGTTCCGCGCCGCGGGCGTCGGCGGCGACGGCCCCGCGCCGCTGTGCCTGCGGAGCGACCACGGCGACCGGATGGCGGCCTACTGCGCCGCGTGCCCCGAGCCCCCCCGCGTGAAGATCGCGCTCGACTGGGAGACCATGGAGCCCGCGTGCGCGACGCTCTACGAGCGCCTCTTCGCGCCGCACCCGCTCATCGCGCCCCTGCCGCCCTTCGCGCCGTCGCCGCGCCTGGCGCAGTTCGGGGACGAGCGGGCCAGGGTGGCCGCGGAGCTCAACGCGGAGATCGACCTCGAGGCCGCCTTCGCCGCGGCGCGGCGGGACGACGAAGAGCACGACGTGCGGGACGCGAACGCGGACGCCGAGGACGCGGCGGACCCCTACGGCGCGCGCGACCCCGTGGCGCGCGCGGACGTGCTCCTGGAGCGCGCGGCGCGGACGAAGGCGCGCCGCGCCGCGCGCGCCGAGCTCCTCGGCGGGCCGGACCGGCGCTGCGCGCTCTGGCGCGCGCGCGCGCTCGCCGTCTGTTGGAGCCGCGTCGTGCGCCACGACGAGCCCAAGTGGGTCCAGGAGATCGCGCTGACGACGTACAAGCGGCTCCGCGACGCGCTGCGCGCGTCCTCGTGCGTCGCCGTGCTCAACGACGCCATGGAGATGTCCAAGCTCGAGCACTGGGACCGCGTCCTCGGCCTCGACCCGTCGACGCGGCGCCTGAGCCGCGACTCGCTCCGCCGGGACATCTGGCGGAACGACGTCGTCGTCCTGGAGTCGCTCGCGGCCTACTACCCGCCGGGCTACGACCGCGTGCCCGACGGCAAGGTCGCGCCCGACGGCCGGGCCGTCGACGACGACGCCGTGCGCGCCGAGGACCCGAGCTCGGAGAGCGGCACGGAGTCCGACGCGGCCCTGGGCGCGGGCGCGCCCCGGGGCACGCTCGTGAGCCGGCTGCGGTGCGCGGCGCTGAACTCGCTGCGCCCGTCCTGCGCCGTGCGCCGGCGCGTGCCCCGGCGCACGAGCGACCGCCTCGTCGGCTTCCACGTGCGGCGCACGGACAACGCGCTCTCCATCGCGCGGTCGCCCATCGGCGGCTTCCTCCGCGCGCTGGACCGGCTCGCCGCGGCGGGCGACGCGGGCCGCGGCGCCGTGCGCGTCGCGCGCGGCGCGGCGCGCGCGGCGAAGCGCGGCGGGGCCGTCGACGTCTACGTCGCGTCGGACGCGCCCAAGGCCGTCGCGGACCTCCGGGCCGCGCTCGCGCGGCCCCGGCGGTCGCACTGGGCGCCGCGCGTCGTCGCCGACGGCCTCGGGAGCAAGCGCGTCGCCATGGACGGCGTCACGAACCGGTCGAACGCCCTCGGCGTCCAGGACGCGCTCGTCGACCTCCTCGTCCTCGCGCAGGCCGACGCGGTCGTCGGGAGCTACTGGTCCTCCTTCTCCGAGGCCGCGGCCCTCTGGCGCCGCGTCGCCCTCGTCGTCGTCGACGAGGCCCGCGACGCCGCCGACTGCGAGAAGACCATCTCCCTGCGGCCCAAGGAGCGGGCGGTCTTGAACGGGTAAAGGTACTTAGTGATACCGACTCCTAGCACGGCGCGGAGCAGGCCGCGGGGAGGATTTCGAACGCGCGCGACCCGCTCCTTCTTCGAGCGCTCGCTAGTGTCCGACGCTACGCGCGCGTGCAGGTCAGGGTCGAATCGGACCACCACACATTCTCGGCGAGGTCGGCCTGGGCCATCTCGTCGGCGGAATCTTCCGGATCAGGAAGGCCTTCGGGGACGCGGTAATCCCAAACCTCAAAGTCGCAATTCAGGGGGTTGAGTTTTGCTTCCTCGCTGAAGTCCCGCGGGGTCCCGATGATCCAGTAGTTCGGCATCAGCTTCTCGATCCCAACGACCCACCCCATTCCATTGTAGTAGAGCAGCACCGGATCGTCGCCGACGTAGTCGCTGTAGTCTCCGACAAACCCCCACACCGGGCGTCCGTTGATGAAGTCGCGGTTCAGCAATTTGTACATACCCATCAAGTCGTGAATCCCACAGTTGCGCGCCCGCGTCCCGCGAAGGCGCACCTTGCCCGGGACGTATTTTTCAAACACCGCGACAGCCGTGGCGTGATCCATCTCCTCTTCATCAGCCATTCCGGGCGGTGCGGCGCTGCGTGGCGCGTCTTAGCGCACCTCGCGAGGGGACTGGGGCGAACGCGCCGGCCGGAACGGTCGCGCGGGGGCTCGTCGGCGCGGCTGACCCTGCTCTCGACCTTGGTCGCTGTGGCAATTTTGAATGCACCACAAACCTTGCGCTTCTTGGGGTTGCTTGTTGACATCACGCCATCTCCTTAAGTTCGAAAATCGGGGTCGTATTTTTTTATTAGGATGGGGGAACTTTAAACTTCAATCTAAAGTTCCCACAGACTAAAGTTCCCACGAACTATCCCCCCCTCGGCGCGCGGCTCTGACCAGCAAACCGCGGAACCCCGTAAAAAAGGACATCCTACATTACGAGGTCCGCGAGGGCGTCGTAGGGCTCCGCGAGGGCCCGGGGCGGCTTGCTCGGCGTCTCGATGGTCGCGACGACGGCGACGGCCGCGGTCGTCGCGACGACGGACGGCGCGAAGGACGAGGACAGCGACGGCTCCTTCGCGTCGTCCGCGACGGTCCGCCGCCGCTCCGACGACCGGCGGCTCCGGAGCTTGACGAGCGAGTCGATGCGCAGCGGGATGGCGTTGGGCTCGAGCGGCGCGTCCGCGGCCGCCGGGGGGCCCGCGAGCCAGGCGTCGCGCGCGAGCGCTTCCACCGAAAGCCGGGCCGTCGGGTCCGTCGCGAGGAGCCCCGTGACGACGGCGACGCCGCCGGGCGACACGCGCTCCCAGTCCTCGGGCCGCATCGTGTAGGACCCGTGCAGGATCTTCCGGAGGCAGTCGTCGTCGCCGTCGCCGAAAAAGGGCGCGTAGCCGACGAGCAGCACGAAGAGCACGACGCCCAGGGCGAAGGCGTCGCAGGCGCACGTGTACAGCGGCGGCCGCTTCGCGAGCGTCGCGGCGACGATCTCCGGCGCGACGTAGCCCACGGTGCCCCGCAGCCGCCGCGTGACGCGGTCGTCCTCGGCCGGCGCGTGCCTGGCAATCGAATCTTCGACCCCGACTTCGAATGTGCGCGTATTCGAATGTTTTGACACAAGCACTTCCGCCGTGCGTCGAGCACTCGACGAGAGCCATCGATGCGTCCAAAAATCGGCCGAATCGACATCGATGTGACGGATCTCGTGAAGTTTGGCGGGGACCCGCCGGAGCGGCGGTCGGGTTCCGCGCGCGCGCGCGCGTCGCGTTCGGATGGTCGTCCACGTAGCGGCTCATGCCAAAGTCCGTGATCTTCAGCACGGCGTCGTCGCCCTGGGAGCTGTACAAAATGTTCTCCGGCTTGATGTCGAGGTGCAGGATGCCGCGGCCGTGGAGCGCCTCGAGGCCCGCGACGACGTCGCGCGCGGCGCGCGCGGCGTCGCGCTCGCCGAAGCGGCGCCGCGCGGCGACGCGCTCGAAGAGGTCGCCGCCGGTGCACAGCTCCATGACGAAGAAGATGGCGCCGGACACCTCGTAGGTCGGCTGGTCGACGACGGAGAGGATCCTCACGACGTGGTCCGTGTCCACCGCGCGCGTCATCTCCAGCATGAGCATGGCCTCCCGCACGGCCCCGCGCCGCCGCCGCACGGACGTCGCGCTCACGATCTTCACGGCGACCTCGCTCCCGTTGAAGCGGTCCGTCGCGCGCCAGACCGCGCCGCCGGCGCCCTTGCCCAGCGGCGGGTGCGCGAACTCGTAGCGCGCGCGGTGCCGCGCGTTCTCCAGGCCCCGCTCGAGCTCCGCCGCGCAGGCCGACCGGGCGGCGGCGTCGGCGATGCGGAGCTTCCACTTGACGTGGCGCCGCGACAGGGGCAGCCCGCGCGTTGGGTCGAGCGGCGCGCCGGTCACGGCGACGCCGTCGACGGCCGCCGCGACGTTGCTCCGCATGTCGAGCCGCAGCCTGCGCGCCTTGCCTTCGTGCGCCGGCGTCAACGTGAGGTCGACGTCGTCGACGAGGAGCGTCGCGGCTTCGACGCTCGCGAAGAAGGTCGCCAGGAACGACTCGAAGTAGCGCGACTTGATCGGCGGTTCGACGACGAGCTCGCAGGGGCCCTCCCACTTCGGCGCGTCGCCCCAGAGCGGTTCGCCGTAGGCCTGCGACTTCCGCCGCGCGCGCGTCGAGCTTCCGGCGACCCAGAAGTCGTCGTCGACGGACGCCGGCATCGGCGGCGCGTCGGAGACGATGGGCGTCACGCTCGTGAACGAGCAGAGGCTGCCCGCAAAGTTGCTGTAGAGCGGATGTTGAAGATGACGTCGAAGAGTTCGACGAGAAGAGTTCGAGCTCGAACGATGGGGCTGCCGCCGTCTCGTGGTGCGTGCACGAGCCGGTGAGCTTCGGTGTGTACGCGGCCCGCGGCCCCACGAAAGACGATGGAGGCCCTGCCGGCGCCGTCGCGCGACAGCGAGGCGCAGCTGCTCGCCATGCTGAGCAAGCTCTGGCTCATCCGGCGGCGCGACCGGGCGGCGGCGCTGCAGATCTTCGGGCTGCCGGCCTTCGCGTTGTCGCTCTGCGCGCTCGTCTACGAGGTCTTCGGCCGCGGCCTGCGGCACAGCACGGGCTACCTCGAGCTCGTCGTCGTGCCGCTCTTCGGCGTGTCGGCGTTCGGCAGCTCGCTGGCGACGACCTTGGTCGCCGAGCGGAGCCAGGGGTTGCTGGAGACGATGAAGATCATGTCACTCAGCGACGGCGTCTACCAGATCGCCCACGTCTTCGAGGCGCTGGCCCTCGGCGCCGTCGCGGCGGCCGAGGTCGCGTTCCTCACGGTCTGGCTCGAGCTCTGCAAGCAGCCCCAGTGGGGCGCCGTCTTCCACCTCTTCCTCGCCTTCTACGTGGCGCAGACGGCCCTGGCGCTCCTCGTCGCGTCGACCGTCGAGCGCGAGCAGTTCGCGGGGCAGCTCATGTTCTTCGGGCAGGTCGTCGCCGCGCCGCTCGTCTTCGCGCTCGCCGTCGTCAAGATGGAGGACGGCCACCGCGACGTCAAGGACCACTACGTGTCGCCGCGGGTCCAGCGCCTCGCCTGCCTCCACCCCACCGTCGCGCTCCTCGTGGGCCTCGACGCGTTCCGGGGCCCGCCGACGAACGAGAGGCTCCGGCCGCCG